AATCTAGATAATTTACATGAGAGGTGGTAGGACAGGCTCTAAATGATCAAGCCCACAGCATAAGATGGCACACGGGTCAAACAGGTGTTTACCAGAGCCAGGCAGACACCCTGAGCACAAACATTCATGTGAATGTTTTGTTTTGTTTGAGAAAACCCCTTGGGGCCACAGGGGGATCTTAACAGTTTATGACACACAAAGAGGCTATCAGAGGCCCCTGGTTAGGTTGACTGAGAGGAAAGCTACAAAATCTAAATTTCAGTCTGCTGGAACAAAGGCAGCTGCTGGAGGTGGTATGAGCTAGTTGCTGCTATTTCTTCTTTGCAATGGGTAAATTTGGGGTATTGTGGTGCTCCTTTCTCCCTGTCTTTACTGGTAACACACAGATCCATGAAAAAGCAAGCTGCACAAGGAAAGTCCACTGAAAGAACAAGGTCACAGCCAGCTGGAGCCAAAACTGTTGAGATCTCCTGGAAATGAAAGATGGGCTATTTTCCCTTCTTCTAGGCCATTGCTATCCTGAGAAATTACAGATAGGGACATGAGAATTTAAAGATACGGACATGAGAAATTACAGACAGGCATGACTCATGCCCAGAAATGACAAAAGGTCATGTTTGTAAGATTTCAAGGCGTATTTGCCTCAAAGTATTGGTAAATAGAAAAATAAGACAGACTTCGCGTTGTAGACATCTTTCCCCACAACTTAATTTCACTCTGTGACAGCGGTACTTTCTAATTACTTAAATATCGTTAGAAAATACATCTCAAATTAAGTTAGTAGCATTATAATAAAATGAAGAAACATGCACAGATCTTTCCAAACTTTGGAAATAGATTGAAAGCTAAACGCAATAATTCCAGCAGTGGAATTGTTATCCCATATTAGATATGAAGAGTATAGTTAGAATACAATTGCAAAGCCACAAAAATGATCCTATAGCATGGCTAATATCCTCTACATGGTCACACGTTCCTGGGCTGCATGTGGTGTGTCTAAGCCTGCTAGGTTTAACCAGAAGCTGGGTGTTGTTTCTAGTTCTGGGCTTTTGTTGCACACTCCCAGAATCAGACCTCTTTGGTGGTGCTCTCCACAGGACACAGTGCAAGGGTGCCTTGCTGCCTCTAAGGAAGGCCTCTTCTCAGATGGACCAGGCCTTCGGCATGGTGCCTGTGCCTGGCATTCAAGATAGTTCTAAAAATTAAATAATGAAGTTGTATGATCTGCAAAGTCAACTCTAAAAGTTTGGGGCTTGGGGTTTGTTTCATTGGGAACGTTTAAATAAAAATCAAGAAAATAAAATTATAGTAATACACATCTTCACAGTTAGTGATTCAGCACGCACACAAATACGAAAGAAGCAATGAAAAACAGCATGATTAAAGGCTGCTTCAAATTCAAGAAAAAAGTCATAATTTTCCCGAAATTTCTAGGGTACTTGCATGGCTTGGGCAAGATCTTTAAAACAAAGTTTGAGAATGTCAGCAGAGACAGCTGCTGCTCCATGTACCTTGCCTACTTGGAGGAAAGGCCAAGGGACTGTGTGATGCACAAAATCAGGCTTACACAAGGCCTCTGCTAGGTTGGAAACTGTGGAAGAATTGTTTGAAAGTGGCAACTGAGAGGAAAACCAGGGCCTTAGCGAAGATTTGGCATTAGAGAGGCCTGCTTGGTGTGATACACAGTTGCCACTTCCAGGATGGCTGGTGCGCACGGACTCAGCTCCTCCACGGTTCCCTGGGCAGCACAATCTGCCCTCCTCGCAGCTGCAAAGGGGAGTAACGGAGGATGGAGCGGGGTGAAGGCTCCGCGGCCAAACTCTGTTGCACTCCCTGTGCTGGGCCGCACAGTGGCTGTCCAGTGGCAGATATACGATAACACGTCCGGTGCTGAGCCAGCAAAGGTGGCAAATCACTCCTTTGGGATGAACTTTGCTTGAACTTTGCTCATTATAATGTCAAAACACACCTCCATCCCAAAAGTTACTTGCCTGCTAGGTATGACCACCCCTCACTGAGCGTGTGCTCTAGATTTTTGATTGACCTTTTGATACCTTTAAATGAAAGCAAGAAACTTTTTCACCAATGAATAATAATATGAAGTATGATTCTAGTTGCTCAAGCTCCACCTGAATGTAAAGAAAAGTATAAAAGGTGAATTAAGGATGAAAAGGAGAGAGGGAAGAATCCATCGTAACTCTTGGGTCAATCGACGGGCTGATCCCCCTTTCCTCCCTTCAGGCTGGAAGGAGGCCTGAGGAGACTAAGAAGTGAGAGGGAAGATTCCATCGTAAATTTTGGATCAGTCAATGCGCTAATCCTCCTTTTCTCCTCCTCGGACTGGAACGCCACCTGAGGAGACTCGAGACTGAGAGCCCTCTCCCATCTTCTGGGGTGAGTGATGATTGCACATTTGTACATCAGAGCTAGCTAAAACCCCACACTCTAGTAGAGAATTTCCTGTACTGACACCCAAAACCTGCTTTGTAAATGTTGCATTTGAATAAATCATACTGTTTGTGAACTTGTTTGGGGGGAGGCGATCGGACCTACAGTTAACGGAGTGTTCGTGAATCCAATACTGCCAGAGTTGAGCTTATAGCTGATCTCACTCTTTGGGAACCCAATTTTCTCCTAGGAAGGTGATCAGACCTACGGTCCACAGACTGTGAATCCAATACTGATTTGATATTTCCTTCCCACCCCCACCAACTACAGCTTTCAAACTGCAGCATTTCACAGAAACTACTCTAAGAATTATGCACTGGCACTAGCCACCCACACATAGA